GGAGGGGGAGGAGACAAGCACTCAGTATACCTGCAATAACGATAAAAAGTAAAAAATAATGGTTTTCAACTTTTGTTTAGTATATCAACTAAAAATGACAGTGGGCTATTTTTAAACCTTTTTGTTTTTAATTGAAATTGCTGATAAATGAGAATACGGCGAAGAGATATATTAGTGTGTTTTTGTGAGGTAACCAGGTCTGACAAATAAAGTGATTTGAAAGGGGTTTTGCGAATTTTCTACAAAGTGCTAGTCTCCTCTCCCCAAGAGTTGGTAAATTACATACTTGAATACTATAATAAATGCTTAGCCAATCGGCATCTGCGCTTAAATGTTTCAATTGATTTGGTTGATTGAATTGAGAAAGAAAGTTTGTTAAACAGGGTGCTTGCTTTATACGAGAATTACCTTTATGAATTCAGAATTCATGTATGGGATGTCAAGAAGAGAATTCATTGAATAGCGGATACAGTAGTTGAAGGTGGGATAATCGATAAGTTATTTTAAATGTGTTGGGGCCATATGACATTTATAATTTTTAAAAACTAACAAACAGTAGTGATATATTAATCTTTGTTCGACCCATTGCCAATTTAAAGTTGTAAGAAGCGTACATTGTGGTGTGTTGTAATCCTTATTTAAAATCAGTGCAAAATAGAGGTTTGCAAGAGTTTTGTGGGGGTATTAGGCGTTTTATACAACGAATACATCCAAAAGAACGAGATATTTTAGTACTTATATATTTCATATGTTCGGACCACGTCACTTGTGATTCAAGTAAAACTCCTACTTATTTTATTGTTTCGACATACTGTAAGTTATTACCATTTAATTTAATTGAGAGACAATTGTTCTCCACCTTGATCCAAAGGACAGCACCATAGTTTTCTGAGGGTGTATATACATCTTAGTTATCAAACCACTTACATATTCAATCAAAGTCATTCTGTAAATTTTCTTGAACTTCAGAAAAATTATTAGAATTATTAAAAATGACAGTATCGTCAGCATGGAGTGATATTTTGGAATTATTATGAAACTTTAAATTATTGATATTATTAATATACAGACAAAAAATCAAGGGGCCAAGAATTGACCCTTGTGGCTCCCCAGATTTAACAGTTAAATACTCACTACAATGATTGTTTATATTAACACAATGTTGTCTACCAATTAAGTAAGATTTAAACCATCCATACAGCTTGTTACTTATGCCATAGAAAATTAGTTTATCAAGTATTATTTTATGTGGAATAACGTCAAACGATTTCCTAAGATCGTAAAATATAGTTCCAGTAATCTGATCCGAATTCATATTATCAAGAAGGTAATCAGTAATTTTGGTAAGACATGTAATTGTGGAATGAAGTGGTCTAAATCAAGACAGACGTTCTGATAATAAATTATTTTGGTTAAGGTAAGAATACATTTGTTTATGTATGGCTTTCTCTAAAATTTTTGACAAAGGGTAGTATTGAAATGGGTCTGAAATTATCAACACTAAACCTACCTCCCTTGTGTATCGGAGTGCTTTTTGCAACCTTGAAATTAAATGGAAATCATGACATTTTTAATGATTGATTAAATTTTTGCAATGATATCTGCAGATAATTTGAGTAACTTGGGATGTAGATCGTCCATTCCTATAGCTTTTTTACAATCAATATTACGTAGTTCATTTCTAACAAATTCTGATTTGATTTCTTGAAATTCGAAAGAACAATCGGTTTGAAATACAGTTTGTAAATAATTGAAATTGCCATCCACTATGCTAGGACATGAACCAGTTTGTAGATTTGAACTCAAATTACTCAGTTTCATTTAATAAACTTGCCACCTTTACTTTGTCAGTTATTATTTCATCATCAATTAAGATTGTGTTATTTACCTCCTTTTGCCTTGAAGGCAAGAGTCTTTTCAAAACCTTCAAATTTTTGCTCAAATCATTTCTGCATTCGGAGAACTCGTTTTGGTAACACTCTTTTCTAAGATTGTTGTTTAGGTTATTTGCTTTGTTTCTATAATACTTGAACTTTTCACAGCAACAATCACACTTCGTCTTTTTTTATACCTTTTCTTATAGTAATCACGGTCACGTGCCAACGTAATATATTCATCTGTAATCCAAGGCACCCCATTTCGTTTTCTTCTGACAGAAATAAAAGGTGCATGTTTATCACTTAATATTGTAAACCCAGATTTGATATGAGACCACATTTTATCAACTTCAACATTTTCTTCATTAAAGTCAGCCCAATTTTGAGTTCTCAAGTCCTCTTAAAATTTGCTTTCGTTAAAGTTCGAAAAGATCAAAATTTACATATTTTCGAATGAAGCATTGGGTTTTTGCCTTTTACGACAAGAAATATTAAACAGTGGTCACTAAAAAACCAATGGACATTACACTGGACTTCAAGTTAGCAATAGAATTCGAGGTATTAAGTATTAACTCAATGAGTGTACTACTATGAGGTGTAACTCTTGTAGGCTCATTGATTAACTGATTAAGCTGGCAAATACGACAAATATCCTTAATATTTTTAGACAAAGTATTTTCATTTCTCATATTACAGTTCAACTCAGTTCAACTCAAATGTTAGTTTGTACATTGCATATAGTAGAGTCATTAATGGAAAGAACTTCAGGAGAAGCAGGATTTTTTCATGAAAGTAACCTGCAGGGTAAAACACTTCGAAGGATTGAGTGACATATTGTTTGATTGTGACCAGTATTGCACAGAGTTAAAGTATGGGTTGTAATTGTGAAACGTCTATTGATTTAAGACATTGTACTAAAGATAAATCATCGACATATTTGAAGTAATGTATAGGAATATTTTCACATAAATCATTAACCATAATTGAAAAAAGAACTCAACAATCCCTTAAACTGCATGTGTTATTGTCTTAAGCATTTTGGATTACGAAAGTGAAACATCGTGGGGCAGCCAATATTACATATTCCTTTTTTGTTAACAAAATTAAAAATTAATTTTACATGAACACTTCCTCCAACAAAGACCGCAATCATTTTGTATTTCAAGAGGGAGGAAAATTAATTTCAAGTGGATGAAATGAAGTGAAACAGAATACAAGGTCAGATATAGCCCTAATGACCGTGGACACTATTGATCAGCATCTCTTTGGGTTGATCGATAACTTTGTGACATATTTACATATACTCACTTTGGCTTGATTTGGTTCGGTCATCAATATCTGGATACTGGACAATCTGGGATATGAATATTCTCATTTCAAGAAGGCGAGATATTCAAAATCTTGAAGGGTACGTCATCTGCAGTAGGGGCCCCCAAAGATATTACAATCTTTCTACGGTACGTAATCTTGTGCAAATCACTCGTTCATAGAAACATACTGGCCATAAGGATCAAAATTTACAGAAATATTTCACTTTTGTGAAAGGAGTGAAAGAGATATTTTGGATAGTAAGACTTTAAAAATCTCCAAGGGAATTTCTTCTGCAGTAGTGACACCCAAGAGATCACAATGTTCAAGTCAAGGATGATTTGTTCTACCTCAAGGATTCCTCTCTACTTGTGGATTGCATGTGTTTCATCCTTGTTTTCTGGAGCATTGCCTGGGAATGACATAGCGGGAAAGGATGGAAACTGGAGCTCTATCTCCCATAGTGGATGCCAGCTTACGAATACCAGCCTCGGTACCACAGCTATCTGTACTCGTCTGGGTCTTCGGTCTGTTCCTCAAGATCTTCCACGCAACACAACACTTCTTGATCTCTCCATCAACCTGATTACAACCCTTTACAACGAGTCTTTCACCCATCTCCCAGACATCATCACACTTGCACTCCAAAGAAATCAACTCTCGGTGATAGAAGACGGTGCATTTGAGCATTTGGGTAATCTCAAACAATTAATCCTAGATAGAAACCGCCTAATGTCTCTTCAAGCAGGTTTACTTGGTTCAAATAGACTTCTCTCGGTGCTCCACCTCGGTAGAAACAAGCTTAGTTCTATTCCAACAAATGCTTTGCCATGGTCTGATAATATCACTTTATTTGATCTGACCAACAATAATATCTCCTTCATAAAACCTTTAGACTTCACACCCCTTCAGAACTGTCCATCGATACGACTATATCTTGACAACAATGCATTAACAAATCTTCCATCAAATGCTTTCTCAGCTTTGAATAAAGTCAACAAGTTGACTCTTTTAAAGAATACTTTTCAGGAATTTCATATCTCTTCTATTCTAGCACACAATGAAATTGACAAACTGGTCTTGCAAGAATGCAAAATACTTCGTGTAATTCCACTAAACCAAACTCATAACAATCTTAATGGCTCCCCCAAGATAGATTGCATAGATCTCAAAGATAACTTGGTGAGCTCCTTCCAAGATTTTGTGTTTTGGGGTTTAAATCAGACAAGTATTTTATTACTTCAGCGCAATAAAATAAATATTTTATCAAACAGGACTTTTTGTGGACTAGACCAGCTGGTTGAATTAGATCTATCTTATAATGGCTTAACTTCCTTACCCCTAGGCATGTTTTCCTGCAATAAAATGCTACTGCGATTGAGGCTTGTTGGAAATAATATTGCAAGCTGGTCCATTGGTATATTATCTAATCTATCCTCTATTAATCACCTAGATCTGGCTCATAACAATATCAAGGATATTGAGAGAAGAACTACCATAACATTTCCTTCTCTAGCATATCTGGATCTTTCTTTCAACAAATTCACAGAGATCAAGTGGTATTTTCTATGGGATTTCACTAATCTCAAAATACTGAACATGTCTCACAATGATATTCAAGGTTTGTATTCTGCAAATGCCTTCACGAATCTAAAGAACCTCAAAGAGGTTTACCTCACCAATGAACCTCACCAAGTCATCAATGGAGCTTTTCGCTACATAGATGCTATTTGCATATTAGATTTATCATTTTCAGGGTTGGCACTTCATTCAAAACTCCAATTTACAAATACTACATCTCTCGTAAAACTGGCTATGCGTGAAAATAATTTGATGAGCACAGATTTATTTGATACCATGACCTCTAAATCACTCTTTTTGGGACTCAGATCGTTGGTCAGACTGGACTTAAGAGGAAATCACCTACATATTTTAGCACCAGGAACTTTCAACCCCATGAAGAGACTTGAAGAACTGCTCCTCTCTCAGTCATCTATTAAAGTCCTAATTCCCAGTGTATTTGACAGTCTGACTTCTCTCACAAAATTGGATCTTCGTGACAATGAGATCTCAGCACTTCCTGGAGACTTATTTCAAAGTCAGTCCAGGCTTGGAGTCTTCTACATAACCAATAACAAACTTGATTCGATTCCCAAGACCCTATTCAATAGAACCCCATCTCTGCACCACCTGTTCATGCAGCGCAACAGAATCACCACAATAGAACCTGGAACAGTATTTCCTACAAACAGGACAACAAGGTTAGACGCATCAGGAAACCCTTTCTCCTGTACATGCGACTTGAGTTGGTTTGTTGAGTGGCTACGTTTAGGCAATGTCGAACTCATCCATCCTGATGACACACTTTGCTCACTCTCTTCCATCGAAGACATGGTGCAATCACCAATCCTCTCATTCCATCCTGATCAATACTGTGGCATTAATATCCTCATCATCACAGGTGTGTCCTTCTTCTTTGTTCTGGTGGCCATCCTGTGCTTGGTGGCATATCGAAAACGTTGGTGGCTCAACTACAAGCTCTTCCTCCTAAAACTTGCCATCTTTGGCTACGAGGAAATCGACCAAGAATTTGATGCCCAGGACTACGAGTACCAGCTCAACCTGATGTACGATGAGGATGACCAGGAATGGGTGGACCAGATCATGAAGCCAGTCCTGCAGGAGAGGTTTCCACATCTCCAGAAAGTGGCCTTTGGCGATAACAACCTCAACATCGAGATGTTCTACATCCCAGCTCTCCACTACGTTGTTGAGAACAGCTTAAAGACTGTCCTCTTTATAAGCAACAACTCTGTGGATGAAGCCTGGTTTCTGACCAAGCTACGCATATCCCTAGAGCACCTCAATGACACCAGACTGGACAAAGTCATACTGATTTTCCTTGAGGACATCCAGGATGATGATCTCCCGTACCTGGTCCGGTTGTTCATGAGTAAGAACAAACCCTACATGCTGTGGACAGAGGATGAAGATGGCCAGGAACTCTTCTGGGCCCAGTTTGAAAAGAGCATGAGAGCAAACAGGGTGATCAATAGTGTTATTCCTGTTTAACCCGACTGCTTTCATTCACAAAAAGGCAAACTAATTGTGAACATAATCATCCAATAAACAGTAAAATCCTCCAAAACAATATCGGCAAACTTGTTTACCGATACACCTACTATAGTTTTGATCAGACCAGATAACAAGGAAAATTACACTTACAATGTGACTTTTTTGTTTACTTTGCTTTGCTGCACCCCATTTTCCTTAAACGGCTTGCATTACCGGTATCGGTCATCGGTGTACTGGTATTCAGTTTGCTTTTACACAGAGGTTTTCCATATATCAAAAACAACTACAGAGGAATCAAGGATTACTAACACTTTTATGAAGGTAAATAAATAGGAACAAGTCTTGGAAAAGAGGAATGATTGACAGCTATGCATGTTAAATGTACATATTTAGAATGTCATACGGATAGTAAAAAATGTAAAGTAAAGCTGCTGCAATTTGTAACTGTACATCATTTTTTTTTGTAATGGCTTCAATGTACATTTAACAACTAAATTATTCATACTCGTTGTAAATTTGATGTTTTTTCCTTCATAACTCAAGAATGAGAGGTAGACTGGTTGAACAAGGGCCTTTTAGATGTAGGATTTAATATGACACATTCTTAAGTAACATAAATTGGGACAAATCAATCTTCACACACTTATATTATTAATTCTCTATATCTTGCAAAATCTACATTTCTGCATTTTTGTGAAATGTGAAATAAACTATTGCTCGTGAATTCTCAATGTTTTATTAACTGAAGAGGTGTTTGATAGCCTATTAATTTGGAGAATGAATGTGTTAATAAATACATGTATGCTTAATTGTACAACTACTACATGGAATAAAGGTTGCATAATAGTAATACACATAATACCATACGAATGGTCAATATTGTAAATATATACATATTTTAACAATAAAAAAGTTGTCAAGCATTTTTTTTTATATTTTGCATCAATGTCTTACCTAGTATGTTTACATTAATCATAATATCTACAACTACTAGGTAGTGACAATGTAAAGCAGTGCAGTTTGAGATTACGTTAGGAAATGTAAAGAATAAACATTATGTAGATTGCTGCTATTAAAAATTTCCCAAGTTTTCAGTCCTTAGTACTATTACTTGTATACCAGATCCGAATTCATACTCCATACTCTAAGCTCAGTTTGTTAGTTTATTGATTTCAATACGATGTATATGACAAATCGTCTGTTAAGAGCTGGGAGGGTGTTGGGTCTATGGAGTGAATATGCGTTGACGCCCTTCTGTCTCTCAACAGTCGATATACGGTACCATCACTCACAATTCCATTTTGAATCTGTGTAATGTTAGTGATCTGTGATTTCTTTTTTATCAATTATCATTATCAATTTCATTATAAACTACTCAATTTATAGACAAACCTACCCTAATTACTTCACATGTTAAATACAATTATTATGAAATGTTGTACTTATGAGCTAACATTAATTTATTTGATAATGTGTAATGAATTGATTGTAGTACCTTGATGTTCACAAATCTATGTATCAGATTCTGCATTTTTTAAAACTTTGTGTACAATATTTCTATCATTGTTATCCATTTATTTGTAGTATTATTCATATTTGAAATCCAACCAGAAGTTTTGGTTGCAATAAAGAAATACTTAGTTCTTTGAAAAAAAATATTACTGTGCAAATCTTAACAAAAGAAGAGCTGTCTAAGTATAATGAAATATGTAGAATGAATGTGTTATAATCAAATATCATTCTTAATTTCTTATAGATAATTAGCAAATGCTTTTATCGATTTTACTGGTTATATCATTCAGTTGATATTTCTTATGGTGGCTGTATGATACATGCTCCGGTGAACCCCAATTGTGACCTTAAAGGTAAAGACCAGTATTGGCAACGCCCCAATTTCAAAAAATGAAATGGAAGCTCTCATTACCAATCATGTGAAAGAATATGTTTTGACTAATACATGATGATAAAAAATTTGCCGGGAAACCGCCTACTAATTCATATATTTGGTAAATTTATTTCTCTCATGGTCTGGTGAGAGAGATAGGGTAGTCCCATATACATCTTTCTGTGTATAGTGCTTGTAACTTTACGAAGAATGAGCCAAATTTCTTATCATTTTGATGATTCCAGAACCTTGCAGATGCTAGATGCTAGATGATCGACCTTTTCTGATCGATTCCACAACGTTTCTTTCACAATGCAATCGCATGACCATTACTGGTCTTTACCTTTAAACCTAAATCTTTGGCAAAATAAAGCTCGGAGCAACCGTAGATGTAGCAAATGGTCAGGTCCCCTCTGTGAATCTTGACCCACTTGAGTTCTTTGGCAAGGTCATAGGAGCAGTTCTTTAAAAAATTGTTTTAATTCATTTTTCTTAATGTATGTATATATACTATTATGATCGGCACATTTGCACCAAGTTTTATGGGAATAACATTTGTACTAAGATAAGAAAGTTCTATTGGTACACTTTATTAGAATTTTAAATCTACAATCAATAACTTCCTGAAAAACCTGAAGTCATATTTGCACCACTACTTGTATCACACGTAATAATTATCTGACTTGTTTATATCACTATCAATAAATTGGATCGAAGCACAATTAATGTATGGTTTCTTACTTCTACGACCAACGACAATTTGACCTTAATTAACCCCTAGTATAGTACAACTTACCTCTCTGGTACTAGGTACTCTAGGACATGATTTTAAGAATACAAAATCAGACCAAACGCTCTATCGTGATAACCATGATTTTTGTGGTAAATCAAGGTTTTTGAGCACTGACCTTTGACCTTATGAGTCAGAAATATAAATTCATCTCCTTACGATTGTGCATACAAAACTCAAATTCCCTTGACTGTATAAATGATTCATTAAAAATTATGTTAACCAAAGTACTGTAACACATGGTAAATACAAAAAATGGGGTGAACATAAATAAAAATTGAGAAAAGTATTTTTTATATAATTTTCCGTGCAAGAATGATCCATATTTTGTTGTAATTTCTTTCATTCATTATAAATTTTAAAAAATGAATATGGTCTGCATCATTCCTTGGGAAAATACTCTCACCACACACATTTTCAGATTTTGTTTACATCACCCCCAAAATTCTATTCACTCCATTTCATGCATGGACTAATCTGTGATTTCAATGTACAGTGACCTTTGGCCTTTAACCTTTGAACCACCTTTTCATATTCATATGGTTGTTCTTAACATTACAAGAATAAAGAAGCATATCATTCTCTAACATGGTTGTACACATTGAGCATAATGTGAGATGATCACTGCCTGGAGCAGGCGCGGATCCAGGGGGGGGGGGGCGAGCGGGCCTTGCCCCCCCCCCCCGCCAAAAAAAAAGAAGAAAAAAAGGAAAGAGAGAGAAGGAAAAGAAGGGAAAGGGAAAGAGGAGAGAAAGGGAAAAAAGAAGAGAAAGAAGAAAAGAAAAGAGGAAAGAAGGAGATCAGGGGGGATTTGCCTTCCAGGCTGTTGCCTCCCCCTCCCCCCCCCCCAATCAAAAAATAAAAGAGAAGGAAGGAAAGGGAAAGCAAAAAGAAAAGAGGAGATAGAGGGAAGGAAAAAGAGGAAGAAGAAAAGAGAAGAAGGGGGATATCAGTTGCAATTTTCCCGCCAACAAGTTGTGGATTGGGGGGAGGAAGGCCCTTGGTTCCCCCCCCCGTCCCCGCTTAAAAAAGAGAGAGAAGGAATGAAAAGGAAAAGAGGAGAGCTAAAAGGGAACAAAAAATAGGAAGAAGAAAAGAAAAGGGAGAAAAGAAGGGGAGATCAGTTGCGGTTAATCCCGCCAACAATGTGTGGAGCGGGGTGAAGGTCAAAATGACCTTTCCCCCCCCCCCAGCAAACCTAAAAGAGAGAGAGAAGGAAGGGAAGTGAAAGGGAAAGAGGAGAGAAAGGGAAAGAACAAAAAAGAGAATGAAGAAAGGTAAGGGATATCAGTTGCAAAATTCCCGCCGACAAGGTGTAGATCGGGGGGGGGGGGGCTTTGGGGAAATAAAATTAAAACGTGGTTTTTTTTCTAATTCTAATTCTAACGCCCCCCCCCCACCCCCACTTTTTTTGAAAAATATATTAAAGAGAAATAGAAAGAAAGAAATCAAGAAAGAAAAAATAGTTCCCCGAGGGCTCTGCCCCCTGGATTCCACCTAGGGCCCTAAGGCGGGCGCTTAGATGCTCATCTGGCGGTAATTTAATGTCTAAAACCCCTGATTTCTGGGGGCTCTGCCCCCTGGACCCCACGCAAAATATTGTCCTGCCAGTGTCACAAAATAATAAGGTATCAAAAAAATGCTCATCTGACCGTAATTAAACGCCTAAAACCCTGAGCTTCTGGGGGCTCTGCCCCCTGGATACAACAAGAGCCCTAAGGCGGGCCCCTTGATACTCATCTGACCGTAATTGAGTGCCTAAAACCCTTGAGCTTCCGGGAGCTCTGCCCCCTGAACCCCAAACCAATTAGTGACCTGCCAGTGTCACAATTAGGTATCAAAATAATTGTCATCTGACCGTAATTAAATGCCTAAAACCCCTGAACTTCCGGGGCTCTGCCCCCTGAACCCCACCTAGGGCCCTAAGGCGGATTATGCCCCTCCCCCCCCCCTCCACGATTTTTCTGATTGCTCGAGAACGCATATGGATGGTGCCCCGCCACTCGCTGACTTCTTTTTTTCGAGTCTTTTTTGAAAATCGGATCTACGGTTACAAGGTCACATGACCTTTTGTCTTTGCATGTCAGCCCGAAAATCGCTCATTTTCGTGATTTGTGTACAAAACATATGGAAAAGTCATTTTTCCTAAAAACAGATCAAACATGGGTTATTGGGTCTTGTTTAAAGTTTAGGTGGTTGTTTTGGGTGTCAAAATAGTTGAATTGTAGTAAGAAATGAAACAACAAAAACAATGAAATACATAAGTTAAAAAAACAATGAAATACTTAAGAAATTATCAAAACAAGGGATTACATAAGGAATAAGCTGGCTCTTCCAAATTTTTTTTCCAAATTCAGAATGGTCTATTGAATATATGTAGTGAAAAAGAATGCCTAATTATGAATAATATATGATTTATGGGTAAAAATGTGAGTTTTATGACATTATTTGCATAAATTACCATAAATATGCAAATGAGTGAATTTTTCAAAAAATTGAAATTATCATATTATTCTATACACTTCACTTGACATGCGTGCAAATTTTCACGGCGATCGGCCGCTTCGCGGCCGAGATCTTAAGGGGGGCCATAATGGCCCCCCGGCCATACTAAGACCTCAAATAGCCCGGCCTTATTAGGGTTAAACCCTGAGCTTCCGGGGGCGGACAAGGTATCAGTATATGTTCATCTGACCGCAGGCACGTAGCCAGGGGGTGTGAGGTGGCCCCCCCACCCCCCCCCCCCAAAAAAAAGGAAAAAAAAGAGAGGAGTGAAAAGGAAGAGGACGTAGGAAGAAAAGGGAGTAGACGAAGAACATCTTTTCTTCTTTCTCTAATAATTTAATGAAACGTAAAAGCTTCCGCGCTTCGCGTGGGAGGGGAGGGGGGAACTGAATTTAGATGAGGATTAAAAGTCATAACGATACAACGAATCGTCTTCTTTCTTTAATAATTTAATAAAACGTTAAAGCTTCCGCGCTTCGCGCAGGAAGGTGTGGGGGGAGGGGTGGAACTCAATTTAGACGAGGATTAAAAGTCATAACGGTACAACGAATCGTCTTCTTTCGCTAATGATTTATTGAAATGTCGACGCTTCCGCGCTTCGCGGAGGTAGGGGAAAAACTCGCCCCTCCCTGCACCCACCCCCCCCCCCGATTACGTCACTGCTGGTCACCATTACGTACCAATATTTGGCTCGCATAATTTCAAATTTGGGCCTCCCTCCTAAGAAATCCTGGATCCGCGCGTGGCCTGGAGTAAAGAAGTTCACCCTAGCGTTATCGGCGTGAACTATCTTTTAGGTCGGTAGAAAACTGTTTTACCAAAATTGTTTACCAAAAGCACAGTGGCGATGCTGAGAATCTCTTTTGAACACTTGTACCTGAATGAAATGAAGGTACTAATGGGGGGCGGGGGCCGTGGGGGGGGGGGGGGGCTGAGAGAGGATTATTGAGAGAGAGCTTGACAGAAATAGACAATATATGAATGCTCTTTTTATCCACTTTCTTTTTTTTTCTTCTCAGTCTTAAAATAGGCCGGCAGCCAAGTGATAAAGTGCCTCAAAATCCTAATTAAAAGTCTTTTTTTACCTGGACCTACGTTTACAGGCCCGAATTCACATTTGTGAACTCGGGCCATTAAGTCCCAGGCATAATAAGTGTTCACGGCATTAACACGCATGTTTCTCCTCCACTTACACACACCGGTCATGTCCAGTGGTGGATTGGGGGGAGTACAACCACCCTATGCCCCTTTTTTTAATTCCTTATTGGCATACCTTAAGTATGTACGAAATTGCCCCCTTCATTAGGATCCATCCGAATTTATACCCCCCCCCCCTCTCTACACGAAAACTAACACACACACACATACAGACAAAACGTCCAAAGTGGGGATATGGATTTTTTTTTTACAGGGAAGTGGGATATCACCAACTAGCATTAATTTTAAACTCATATTTTTATCCAAAAAAAATATAAAGCTATATCAATTAGAGTGTCATTAAAAAATAAAATTAATGGGAGGATGAAATAGATTTTAAAAAATTGACGCATCAATCACATTAGATGTGGGGAGATAGGGGTAGACACATACCAACAGACATGATCCCACATTCTATTCGGAATTTTGGTCGGCACGTTTTCAAATTTTCAAACATTCAATGTAACAAGTCATCACATATGAATTGCAATACAAACACAATCAATGTGCCATGTCCGCCCCAATCCAATGTATTAAGTCATCAGCTATTAAATGTAATACAAACACATTCAATATGCTTTGTCCCCACATCCAATGCACCAAGTCATTAGCTATGTCAAATACAATACACATTCAAGATTTCATGTCCGCACATCCAATGTATCACGTCATCAGCTTTTAAATGCAATACAAACACATTCAATATGCCATGTCCCCACATCCAATGAACCAAGTCATCAGCTATCAAATGCAATACACATTCAAGATGTCATGTCCCCACATCCAATGTATCACGTCATCAGCTTTTAAATGCAATACAAACACATTCACTATGCCATGTCCCCACATCCAATGCACCAAGTCATCAGCTATCAAATGCAATACACATTCAAGATGTCATGTCACCACATCAAATTTACCGAGTCATCAGCTACCAAATGCGATATAAACACAGTCACTGTGCAATGTCCCCACATCACATGTACCAAGTCATCAGCTATCAAATACAATACACATTCAAGATGTCACATCCCTACATCCCATGTATTACGTCATCAGCTACCAAATGCAATACAATTAACACATTCAATATGCCATGTCCCACATTCAATGTACAAAGTCATCACATATATGAAATGCAATACAAACACAATCAATGTGCCATGTCCCCACATCCAATGTTTTATTGAGAAATAGAAAGAAAGAGGGAAAGTAAGAAAAAACCCTGAGCTTCCGCCCTTGATTCCAACCTAGGGCCCTAAGGCGGGCCCCTGGATGCTCATCTGACAGTGATTTATTGCCTATAAAACCCCTGAGCTTCTGGACCCCACCCCCTGGACCCCACACCAATTAGTGTCTTGCCAGTGTCACAAATAAGGTATAAAAAAAATGTTCATCTGACGGTAATTCTATGCCTAAAACGGCTTCCGGGGGCTCAGGCCCCTGGAACCCACGCCAGTTAGTGACCTACCAGTGTCACAAATAAGGTATCAAAATTTGCTCATCAGACCCTAATTAAATGCTTAAATCCCCTGAACTTCCGGGGCTCTGCCCCCTGGATCTCACCTAGGGCCCAAGGGCTGGTCTTGATGCTCATCTGATGGTAATTTTATGCCTAAAACCCCTGAGCTTCTGGGGGCTCCGCCCTCTGGACCCTACGCCAATGAACGTCCTGCCAGTCTCCCAAAATTAATAAGTTATCAAAATATGCTCATCTGACCGTAATTAAATGCCAAAAACCCATGAGCTTCCGGGGGCTCCTCCGCCTCGACCCCAACAGGGGGCCTAAGGTGAGCCCCTGTATGCTTATCTGAGCGTTATAAAATGCCTCAAATCTCTGCCCCCTTGACGCCATGCCAATTAGTGACCTGCCAGTGTCATGATTAAGTTATCAAAATATGCTCATCTGGCCGTAATTAAATGCCCATACCCCCTGAGCTTCTGGGGGCTCTGCCCCTAGACCCTATGCAATTTAGGGTATGCTCTACTTGATCGTAAATACTTTAGGCTCCCCCTACCACTTTGAAAAAAGTTCAGCGGGGCCTGCATGTAAGAGTGGGGTGAAACTGATTTTTTTTTGTCTCCCCCCCCCCACTCCCCAAACGTTATTGCTCATTACGTCACTGCTGCATGGTCACCATTACGTACCAATATTTAGCTCGCATAATTTCAGATTTGGGCCCCCCAAGAAATCCTGGATCCGCTGCATGTATTGTGCCATCCAAGTCATCATAATTTGCAGTATACATGTATTTTGAAGAAGAAAACAAAATTAAAAATATATTCAAATATGACAAAGTGAACGGAATAAAGTTTTTAAATAGTTTTATTTCATTTATATAACAGTACATGAATTAACATATCAATGGCAATGCCTGATCCACTTAAGTCTGAAGTAATTAAACCTCACAAGAACAACTGGCTTTTTCAATAATATTGAATGCACAGGTATCAAATGAATATGGTATAAATTCAATCACTATTCGCCAGGGTCTTGTTGACTGTACTGGACTCAAGGGGCACGTTTGAGATGAGCTTCTAGTAACCGAGCCAACTGTCTCATGCATATTTTCTGTCATATCTATCCTCCGTGCCAATTTTTAAAGCTCACATACAAGGTAATTCTTCAAGAACTGGGATTAATGATGTCCTGATGTTTGTTGGAGTCAGAGTTTTCTTGCAACCTTACCAGGTGACCATGCATCTTTAGACAGCTTTCTGATTACCTAGGAAACTGTCCCAAGCATCTTCTCTGCAACATGTATCTTCTATAACATCTATTATCCATCACGTAGACGCTTGTCATTCTAGAACTGGGAACAATTCCCTGGTGGAAAAGGTGAGATCAGCTTCGGATTACCAAGGCAACCATTCCTGGCATATTCTCTACCATTCTTTTAAAGAAAAGAATGGTCTGTACAAAACTGGAAGAATTATCCTACTATTTGTTCTAAAAGAGGACTATATAGCACATCCTTAATACGTGATACAAAGATGTATACTCTTTATATCTGAAGTAAGATATATCCTTTTGCTTGATCTAATAAGTGAGGTCTAGCGGATCCGTAATGGGTGATGGCAGGTACCTCCTACATACACAATTGATCCTCAGACGATGCTCAACTCTAAGCGACACAATAAGCGATTTGTAACGCTCATCGTAAACGCTCATCGTAATCGCAGTTCCACGGTGCACTGTTCATGCTCACTTCTCCAGGCAATTCTCCTTGGGTGGCCTTCAGCTGGATTCGCAAACCTGTGTGCGCATGCTACGTAGACCCACTAGAGGTCAGTGCGTTGACCCCATTTAAACGCGTTTACAAATTGTAAACGCATCTTTTTGTGAGTTTACGATCGGCGATCGTGATCGCTGTTTTTCGGTGATTGTTCAAAAGTGAGCATGAACGCAATCGTGTTTTAAACTAAACGCGTAACAGATGCCTGATTCTGGCCGTCAAAATCAAGCATGAACACGCCCTAAGTGAGTCCCATCTCAACGATACCAGATGATGGCCAGCACTACTCATCCCCATGACTGGTCCTCCAATAATACCAGTCTTCTGTGTAACTCCGATCAGTTACCGGCTGACTTGCCGACGCCCTTAGGCATCTTCTTGCTTGATGCGTCCTCTAGTTCCTTGGCCTTGTAGTAGTGTGGAGCAGCCTCTAGCAACCAACCGTTCTCTATCTCTATCACCTACATCGTAGAATATAAGGGCAGGATTAGAAAAAGTATATCAGATGCTGATTAAAGAAAAAAAAAGTTTAATATTCAAGATCAAGTGCCTCTGAAAATGGTTGAGACTTCTAGCGCAACCATCTCAATTGTTTTACAGTAAATACTTTGTCTATAGCAAATGTATATCATGCTTTTGTACTTAAAGCCTGTCTGTACTAGTTTGGGCAGGAGGGATTAGATCACCCAGCGTGGTCACTGACAAGTGGCTATCTCATCAACTCAGCTCTCAATTAGCAGAAGAAAAAGAGGATCGTAGGGGACCAACGGGCAACGCTTAGGCAATTTTTTTCTATATAGAGGTAGCAAGTAGCTACAGTAGTGCAATGGGGATTTAACGCATATTTCACAATTACTACCGGTAATTTTATTCACAAACATGTACATGTACATGTTACTACTGCATTTCCTATAGTTTTGGGAAAGGCCCAAGGGTTGTAAGAATTCCACAGTCCTTTTTTTTTCGCCCGGAAACCTTCAGGAGGCACAGCAGGAATGAAAATAGAAGGGAAAATATAATTCAAATTGTTATACCTGTCTCATGAACTCCTTGGTTGTAAAGACAAGTTCATGATAGATGAGCCATCTTGGTTGTTCTTCAAAGAGACCGCTATTGGGATGAACCATGACTGTCTGTTGGTGCTTGACTGTCTTGTAGTTACCTCCCTTACTGAAGCGTGCAGTATGGTAGAAGAAACCAGCAGTTACAGCCTGGAATATTCAAAGATAGGGAAGATAGTTATTATTATATTCCACATACTAAGAATCTTGCTCTACGATTAGTCATAAGTAAATCACGTGATCAAAGATAGTTCGCCCATCATTGATGGGAGAAGCAAAAAGTTCGTTGCCCTTTGTAGATAGTACTACTATCTACAAAGGGCAACGCACTTTTACTGAAGATAGAGGTACTATTTACAAAGGGCAACGCACTTTCACTGAAGATTATCCAAAAGCGCACTAAAATAGGCGTAATTAAGCGCGCATTACCAATGAGCGCAACATGCCAACATGCGCGCACCGTACCCTCAAGGGGTTGGGTTAAACTTTTAACCTTTTTGGTGTGAATTTGGGCCTGATGTCTTTCATGCAGATTCATACACGTCCTTTTCTTGTTGTAGTTATATAGTTTTTAGATGTGGAATATAAATCAAATAATCACCTTTTGTTTCAGGCGATGGCAAACTATCACTTCCTTGTCGATCATAATGTAAACGCTATCTTTCCTCAGCTTCGCTTCGGAAAGATAGCTACATCCAGATCGACTCGGAAGTGATAGTCTGTCCCATCACCTTCACCAACGGTAGTTATTTGCTTATTATATCCCACATACTAAGAATCTTGCTCTACGATTGGTGAAAAGTAAATCACGTGAGGAAAGATAGTTCGCCCATTATTGATGGCAGAAGCAAAAAGTTCGTTACACTGTGTAGATAGTACTACTATCTACACAGTGTTACGCACTTTCATTGAAGATAGATGTACTATCTACAAAGGGGAACGCACTTTCACTGAAGAGTATCCAAACGTGCACTAAAACAGGCGTAATTAAGCGCGCATTAACAATGAGCGCAATTAAAGAAAACACATGCGCGCGCGCACCTTATCCTCAAGGGGGATAAACTTAAACTTTTTTGGTGTGAATTTGGGCCTAGGTGTCTTTTATGTAGATGCATACACGTCCTTTTATTTCTGTAATAAAATTGTCTTAGATGTGGAATATAAAGCAAATAATCACCTTTTGGTTTTCAGGCGATGCCAAACTATCACTTCCTCGTCGATCAGAATATATACCTCTTTCCTCAGCTTCGCTTCGGAAAGATAGCTACATCCAGATCGCCTCGGAAGTGATATTTTGTCCCATCACCTTCACCAACGGTAATTATTTGCTTACTATTGCATTCAATAGGAATATTTCCTAATTATTATGATATCTACATGAATTTTTTAATTTTCATTTTCATGATTAACATTATTAAAATTTACATCGTCATCGCCATCATTGTCATCATAATAATAATTGTCATCATCATCATCATTACCACCATTACTATCTTCATCATTATCATCGTCATCATCATCACTATCATGATCATTATTACTATCATTACCACCAGCACCATTCACATCATAATCATCACCACCATTATCATCAACATAATCCTCCTCCTCATCATTATCATCAAATCAGCTTCATCATACATGTTATTATCACCATCATCATCACCATCTTATCATTGCCACTATAAATCAGACTTGTTTATTTCATTGCAAATCTAATTATTTTCTTTGGAGGGGAGGGGGCGGAGGACAAATTTCAACTATTAACATAAGAACGTCTCTTTATCCTACCTTTCTAATAACGACAATATCCATACCACAGCTCACAATCTCCATCTCAACTCTCTCCATGAGTCCCTGGAGCTGATCACGAACATCCCGCGCCCGTCTCATCGATCGATGCTGGATGAAATTCTCAAAGCACCACTGAGTTGAGAAACCAGTCTCTACCCACTGCCCAATGAGAAAAACAATATTGATAATAATTATAATGATAATGATAATAATAATAATAATGATAATAATATTGATAAAAAATTACAATAATAACGATGCTGATAATGCAGCAACATTTTCTATTCTTCCATTTCTCTCCTTCCTTCCCTTGCATTATTTTCTGTTGTCATATATTATTTTAAATGAATATACATTTATGTCTTATATGCCAGTCGTCAATGTCTCTTTTGACCTTTCCAGTGTTCACTACACGATATAAGTGCCGTAACAAGTCTTTTCAAATTACGGATTTATAATAGTATTATTATTCTGCCACCTTTTGGTAAGCTATGTATTCATATATCTTTTTCAAGTAAATATATTTACATGTTACAAAATTATGTTTGTCATTATTGTGAGGGAACCACATTTTACAAGCTCTGCTTTTCAGTGGATTCCTCCATTTCCACAGGTTTATCTTTACAAACTTAAAAAAAAACACTATTATACTGGATATATATGTATACTTTCTATATAACTTTAAACCATGTAAAATGTATTATATTATTGAATAGTTTATTCAATGGTACTTAAAGGTACTACGTCCTTTTTGCAGCCAACCTCAAATTTTGTAGAACTTTGCAGGAATTATGAATATGTCATGTATGTCCTATCTGTGAAATTTGAACGTTAGCAGTGTCCTAATATTCAAATTACGCAAGGAAACCCGTTTACTTGCTAGTCTTCACTGTCAGACACTATTGAGTGGCTGACTGGCTTCTTTTCTTCTTTGGTAACAACATACATAAAATGAGCTGTAAAGGGTACATGAGCATTATTCTACATCAATAACCCACTTCTTGTGATAGCCAAAATTAAACTGATTGAATCTTTGCGCAGCATAAAACGTATGACCATTCGGTACAAAGGTCTGAAAATCAAGACTATTACTTATTGGCTCTATAGTTCCTAAGTCGATTTGACAACTAATAGTCATTATTTTCCAACTTAAAGACCTTTTCAAGCCCCACCTTTTTTAGGGAGGTTCTAAATTGGTATTATCTTTCAAATGCCGTTGGAATTTAACCTTTTCATTTTTTCGGCCTGCAAATGGGTCAGAGTACCTTTAAGAGTAAGTATAATGAAGCTGAAATCTAAGTTAAATAAAAATTAATTTACAATGTATGATTCAACTTCTTCAGATAAAAGTATCAATGACAATGCATAAACTGTACCTCGTTCTGCCACTCGTATTAACCAAAAACAGCTGTACAATTATATTGTTATCTACGGAATTCCCAAACTTTATGTGATTCCTGACTAGAAATATATCATGTAAATATATATCATATATCATATATCATATAAATGATTCAGCAGTTTCTCCTAGCACATGAATTGCTTTTGATAATGTCAACTGCAGGTGTCAATGGCTTTAGCATTTTGGATCACAAAAGTGACACATCATGGGGCAGCCATTAATCATTCCTCTAAGGCTAACACAAGTGAAAAGAGATATTCATAAGTACCCTTTCTCCAAAATAGACCACAATAATTTTAAGACGTACGATAATTAATTTCAGTGAAACAAAGTTGCTGCAAGGCTACAATGACTGTGAACACCATTAATCATGCTTCATTCTGCCACTATGTATTGACCCAAAACAGCTTTCTATGGGAATTCCCAAATTTTATGTGATTCCTGACTTGAGTATATCATTTAAATTCAGCAGTTCCTCCTAGCAAATGAATTGCTTTTGATAATGTTAACTGCAGTTGTTAATGGCTTGAGTATTGTTTTATTACAAAAGTGAAACATTGTGGAGCAGCCATTATTACATATTCCTCTATGGGTAACAAAAGAGAAAAGAGATATTTATAAGCACACTTTCTCCAACATAGACCACAATAATTTTGTATTTCAAGAGGTAGGATAATTAATTTCAAGTGGATGAAATGAAGTGAAACAGGATACAAGGTCAGATATAGCCCTAACGACTGTGAACACTATTGATCAGCATCTCTTTCGCTTGATCGATAGCTTTGTGATATATTTACATATACTCATTTTGGCTTGATCTGGTTCAGTCATCACTATCTGGGTACTGGACAATCTGGGAGATGAATATTCTCATTTCTAGAAGGTGAGATATTCAAAATCTTGAAGGGTACCTCATCTGCAGTAGGGGCCCCAAAGATATTACAGTCTTTCTACGGTACGTAATCTTGTGTAAATTACTCATTCACAGAAACATACTGGCCATAAGGTGAACAATCGACAGGAATATGTCACCGCTGTGAAGGGAGCGGAAGAGATATCTTGGTTAGTGAGACTTTCAAAATCTCCAAGGGAATTTCTTCTGTAGTAGTGACACCCAAGAGATCACAATGTTCAAGTCAAGGATGACTTGTACGACCTCAAGGATTCCTATCTGCTTGTGGATTGCATGTGTTTTATCCTTGCTTTCTGGAGCATTGCCTGGGAATGACATAGCGGGAAAGGATGGAAACTGGAGCTCTGTCTCCCCCAGTGGATGCGAGCTTACGACTACCAACCTCGGTACTAGAGCTATTTGTACTCGTCTGGGTCGTCGGTCTGTTCCTCAAGATCTTCCAAGCAACACAATAGTACTTGATCTCTCCATCAATATGATAACAAGCTTGTACAATGAGTCTTTCACCTATCTACCAGACATCATCACACTTGCACTTCGAAGCAATCAACTCTCGGAGATAGAAGACGGTGCCTTCGGGAATTTGAATAATCTCACAAAATTAATCCTAGAGAGAAACCGTCTAATGTCTCTTCCAGCAGGTTTACTTAGTTCAAATAGACTTCTCTCTGTTTTCCTCCTCGGTAGCAACAAGCTGAGTTCTATTCCAACAAATGCTTTGCCGTGGTCTGATAATATCAAGTTGTTTGATCTGACAAACAATAACATCTCCTTCATAAAACCCTTAGACTTTACACCCCTTCAGAACTGTTCATCGATACGACTATTTCTCAGCAGGAATGCATTAAACAATCTTCCATCAAATGCTTTTTCAGCTTTGAATAAAGTCAACGAGTTGGCTCTTTCAAAGAATACTTTTCAGGAATTTCATATCTCTTCTATTCTAGCAAACAATGAAATTGAGGCACTGTTTTTGGCAGGATGCAAAATACATCGTATAATTCCACTGAACCAAACTCATAACTATCTTGATGGTTCCCCTAAGATATATTTCATGAATCTCAAATTTAACAGGCTGAGCTCCCTCCCGGATTATGTGTTTTGGGGTTTGAATCAGACAAGTATTTTAATACTTAAGCACAATCACATCAATATTTTATCAAACAGGACCTTTTGTGGATTAGACCAGCTGGTTAAATTAGATATATCCTATAATTTTTTAACATCCTTACCCCTAGGCATGTTTTCCTGCAATAAAATGTTACAGCGATTGATGCTTGTTGGAAATAAAATTGCAAGCTGGTCCATTGGTATATTATCTAATCTATCCTCTCTAAATCACCTAGACCTGGCTCGTAACAATATCAAGAATATTGAGAGAAGCACCACCATAACATTTCCTTCCCTAGAATATCTGGATCTTTCTTTCAACAGAATCAAAGATTTCAAGAAGTATCTTCTATGGGGTTTCCCTAATCTCAGAATACTGAACATGTCTCACAATGAAATACAAAGTTGCTATTCTCCAAAAGCCTTCTTGAATCTGAAAAACCTCAAAGAGCTATACCTAACTAATGAACGTTTTCAGAAAATCAATGGAGCTTTCCGCTACATGGATGCTCTTTGCACATTAGATTTATCAGGCGCAGGGATGGAATTTTTTTCGATACTCCAATTTACAAATACTACGTCTCTCGTGAAACTGGCTATGCGTGAAAACCGTTTGAGGAGCAAATATTTATTTGATAGATTGACCTCTAAATCACTTTTTTTTGGACTTAGATCATTGGTCAGGCTGGACTTAAGAGGGAATAACCTAGATATTTTAGCACCAGGAACTTTCGACCCCCTGAAGCGTCTCGAAATACTACTCCTCTCTCAGTCATCTATTAAAGTCCTAATTCCCAGTGTTTTTGACAGTCTGACTTCTCTCACAAGATTGGATCTTAGTGACAATGAGATCTCGGCAATTCCTGGAGATTTACTTCAAAGTCAGCCCAGGCTTGGAGTCTTCTACATAACCAATAACAAACTTGATTCGATTCCCAAGACTCTATTCAATAAAACCCCATCTCTTAACCAACTATTCATGCAACGTAACAGAATCACCACAATAGAACCTGGAACAGTGTTTCCTACAAACAAGACGATGAGTATACACGCATCCGGAAACCCTTTCTCCTGTACATGCGACTTGAGTTGGTTTGTGGGGTGGCTACGTTCAGGCAATGTCGAAATCATCCATCCTGATGACACACTTTGCTCACTCTCTTCCATCGAAGACATGGTGCAATCGCCAATCCTTTCATTCCATCCTGATCAATACTGTGGCATTAATATCCTCATCATCACAGGTGTGTCCTTCTCCGTTGTTCTGGTAGCCATCCTGAGCTTGGTGGCATATCGTAAACGTTGGTGGCTCAACTACAAGCTCTTCCTCCTAAAACTAGCCATATTTGGCTACGAGGAAATCAACCAAGACTTTGATGCCGAGGACTACGAGTACCAGCTCAACCTGATGTACGATGAGGATGACCAGGAATGGGTGGACCAGATCATGAAGCCAGTCCTGCAGGAGAGGTTTCCACATCTCCAGAAAGTGGCTTTTGGCGATGACAACCTCAACATCGAGATGTTCTACATCCCAGCTCTCCACTACGTCGTTGAGAACAGCTTCAAGACTGTCCTCTTAATAAGCAACAACTCTGTGGATGAGGCCTGGTTTATGACCAAGCTACGCATAGCCCTAGAGCACCTCAATGACACCAGACTGGACAAGGTCATACTGGTTTTCCTTGAGGACATCCAGGATGATGATCTCCCGTACCTGGTCCGGTTGTTCATGAGTAAGAACAAACCCTACATGCTATGGACAGAGGATGAAGATGGCCAGGAACTCTTCTGGGCCCAGTTTGAAAAGAGCATGAGAGCCAACAGGGTGATCAATAGTGTCATTCCTGTTTAACTCGACCGTTACCATTCACAACAAGGCAAACTAATTGTCATCCAACAAACATTAAGAACCTCCAAAACAATATCGGCAAATTTGCTTACCGGCAAAGGGCTGAGAACGTACTACATGTTTAACAGTCAATATGTGTGCCTCTACAATCCTCATTCGCAATTCCTTTGTCCTTTATGTGTATTGAAGTCCAAGGTATTTTGTCCCTTACGTTACCCATAACATCGACATTTTCAGTACATCAGATGATTCTATCAAGGTGATACCCTACTTCAGCTTGGATCAGACCAGAAAACAAGGAAAGTTGATCTTGCGATGTGACTTTTTTGTTTATTTTTCCTTGCTGCATTCCATTTCCATTAAACGGCTGGCATTAATTTTACGTCTACTTTCTTATGATTCCCGGCACCCAGTCATAGCCTATTTTTTTTTGGCAAGCTTTGATTCATTAGCTTCTGTTTCTATTGTCTGACTTAGGTTATTTCTGTTCATTCTTGCGATTTACTTCTGATGAGTGCAAGAGGAAAAGATTCAGTATGTCAGTATTGGTTTCTATTCTTAAAGGGATGGTTGAGTTCTGTTGCAGAGGGCGTTACACAAAATATTTTTTTTGTGAGATAATGAAAAAATGAAAGTTAAATTTGAAAGAACATAATATTTAAATGACAAAATCATCTTTCTTTGATCAAAATCGGTTCAGAGACGGCTGAAATTTCTATTACTTGTGTACCACCCATCTTCATAGCAATTTTAGGTTAAAACGGCACTAGAAATGTCATAGATAAGAACAAGAGCAATAACCATGCATTTTGAAGAACTCAACTATACCTTTAAAATTTGTAGTACCAATCGCCTCTTTATATGTCTTGATTGTCGGTTTTACACGGGACAGCGAATGACCAAATATATTACCTAATACCCCATTCACAGTGGCCTCAAACACCGCGACAGCAGCGGGACTGTCCCGCTGCTGTCGCGGTGTTTTCTTCAGTGTGAAGGCTCGGAGCCGTTATAAACTATCGCGGGATAACACCGCCTCGCGATAACGCCGCGACAAACTATCGCTAGGTTCGCCTAGCTACTACCCCATTCACAGTGGCCTCAAACACCGCGACAGCAGCGGGACTGTCCCGCTGCTGTCGCGGTGTTGTCTTCAGTGTGAAGGCTCGGACCCGTTATAAACTATCGCGGGATAACACCGCCTCGCGATAACGCCGCGACAAACTATCGCTAGGTTCGCCTAGCTACAGCAGCGGGACAGTCCCGCTGCTGTCGCGGTGTTTACTCAGTGTGAAGGCTCTCCGCTATAACACCGCGACAAACACGTGTGATTTGTTTACTTACCTATCAATGATCTCTTTTCTCCAGCAATGGGGAACATAAAGTGAAATAGAAATAAAGTAACCAGTGGATTCAAATTGATTTTATTATTATGTAGATATTATAATTATCCAAATAAAAATATTTCACACTTCAAAAAATTAAAATATTCTGACTGGAAGCAATAAAAATGCTAGTTTTTTAAAAAGTAATATGATCGAGGATACAAAAAGCAACTTGACATGTTTACCCTAAAACCCCGCGCTGAAGCATTTCCGGTCATATCGGGGTCACTCGCGGGTCATGAGCCATGCATACACGTGTTTGTTACGGAGGTAATAAAAATCACCCGCTGCAGCGTGAATGGGTACATGATATTTATCCCGCTGCTGCAGCGGGATAACTTTTCTACTGTGAATGCATTTGTAGCGGTGTTATGGCGGTGTCGCCGCTCCGCTACAACGCCGCTACAAATTTCAAAACCACTGTGAATGGGGTATACAGCAGCGAGACAGTCCCGCTGCTGTCGCGGTGTTTACTCAGTGTGAAGGCTCTCCGCTATAACACCGCGACAAACACGTGTGATTTGTTTACTTACCTATCACTGACCTCTTTTCTCCAGCAATGGGGAACATAAAGTGAAATAGAAATAAAGTAACCAGTGGATTCAAATTGATTTTATTATTATGTAGATATTATAATTATCCAAATAAAAATATTTCACACTTCAAAAAATTAAAATATTCTGACTGGAAGCAATAAAAATGCTAGTTTTTTAAAAAGTAATATGATCGATGATACAAAAAGCAACTTGACATGTTTACCTTTTGCAAGCTTGCCTCATCGAAAACCCCGCGCTGAAGTATTTCCGGTCATATCGGGGTCACTCGCGGGTCATGAGCCATGCATACACGTGTTTGTTACGGAGGTAATAAAAATCACCCGCTGCAGCGTGAATGGGTACATGATATTTATCCCGCTGCTGCAGCGGGATAACTTTTCTACTGTGAATGCATTTGTAGCGGTGTTATGGCGGTGTCGCCGCTCCGCTACAACGCCGCTACAAATTTCAAAACCACTGTGAATGGGGTATCAGTGTTGCCTTTATAGGCAGGTTCTTACAAGACTACATGTTAAGGAACAAAAGTTGATGACTCAAGTAAAAATATCAATTCTTTTTAATATTTGTATAGGTTGTTATTCAGGTGTGTATTAAATAAAAGTTTGGCAGTTTGGCCACTGGTATTGTCAAGAATCTTGCTTGCAAGGCTTTGAATTTAAAAATAGCAGAAATGTCACAATGATGACTACAAGGACTTCGTAATGGAGGCATAGTGGTACATTGCACATACCCGCCAAACGTTAGAAGACAAAAGGATCTATATTCTCTAAGAAATAAGGCGAAAGTAGGAATTCAGTGTATTAGTATGCTTTTCCAAAGAGGTTTTCTGTATATTTATTAAAAAAAAAAAAAACACAGAGGAATCAAGGGTTACCAACACTTTTATGAAGGTAAACAGATATGAACTAGAAATACAATCGTGTCACAACGATGTGCGTGCAATGACGCCATGTTTCTACGTGTCAAACGAAAGAGCTTCTCTCGGACTATCCAGAGCAATTTGTACGAAGTCTGTAGCTTCTGTGATATATAGGGCGAAAGAAAGGCCTCAACAGTGACCTTTGATGAGATGGTAGTGACTACGCCTACGAAGTTTGAAAGAAATTGGGATCGGGGAAAGAACCTAGGAAAGGCTCGCAAACACTGCGTGCAAAAACGAATGGGATTTAGTGCATGTTCGTCATTGTAATAAAGATCGTTCCGGGGGCAAAAAGCGTGAACCTGATATGCCCCATAGACAAGGCGTGTAATGCATGGGCGGAAAACGTACAGGATCTGTATTGTGACCGGACTTTAATTTTAGTTTTTCTCTCTTTATGTCTCTTTATGGGACGTATTTGGTATCATTGGAAAGAGAATTTTATGGTTGTTGTTGTAAAGAACTCTCTTTTGTTCTATGATAATCCTGTCGAAACACGTGATTTTAAATAGATTTATAGGACAAAATGGCGTCTTAAATGCCTCCCTTGACCAATTTTTAAAATTCGGCCTCGAGGTGCCCTGCGTATCGCAACTCAGAATGTCACTGCAAAATTTTAAGGAAAGAAAAGGAAGTTTAGGGGGCGAAAAGCAGTCTGAAAAAATGACGTCATAGCCGATACGTGTTATAATTGGGCGGAAACTCGGCGGAATTCGTATAGTGACCCTTGTTCAAATGTGATTTACTCCAAATTTTCTGTGGGAACATATACCATACTTGATATCATTCGAAAGGGCACTTCATTGCGGTCAGTTTGACACCATTGTCATCTGCGCGTAATGTCGATGCATAGCAAATTCATCATTTTTGGCGATAAATTTGCGCTGACGTTATTACAATTTACCAAACTTGGCAGACAGTTGTCACGTATATGGATACATGTGTCTGCCAAGTTTCATTGACGTACGTATAAGGATCGCCATTTTAGAGCAAGTTGAAGTTATTTCTCAATTTTCTTGAAAACTGCATATTTGGAGGGCATTTTTCGCAAAGTCGGTCAGTGTTAGGGTATATAATTTTGTAAATGGCTGGAAAGGGCATATATTCAAGTATCTAAATCCAAAAAAGGGTACGGGTCTGCCAAACCATAATGGAGATACGGCCACAGAAAGAAAGCCAATTCCCAGAACTTTAGAGGGCGCTATTTATGTTTTGCATAGCCATTGGAGCGTGAAATTTGGCTTGGCTATGTGCAATTATGAGATATAGATACTGTGAGATTTAAATACAAAACGGGATTTATATGAGAAAGTTATGGCAGTTTTAGATTATTTAAGTGTCAAATTTTCAAGAATTTGAGAGACTTTTGACGGAGTCGGTTTCAGATTTGAATTTTGAGTACGAAGATGGCATTTTGAAGGGCAGGTTATACGTCGCAGATTAAAGAACATCTCTTACACTATCTAGAGGAATTTGTTAGAAATTTGTAGGATCTAGGATAGTGGAGATAGGAAGGAAGATAGAAAGGTCTTAAAATGGACCAGAAACGGACAAAATGGCGCCTGGACGGTTATGCATGAGTGATTTTGAGAATTGAAGAATGTAGTGACCTTGATGAGATGTTAGAGACTATGCCCATGAAATTTGAAAGGAAAAGGACATGAGGAAAGCACCTAACAAGGAATAACAAACACTACGTGCAAAACGAATGCGATTTCCTGACGATAAGGATAAGGATAAGGAAAAGGAGAATATTAATGGGCAGAATGTGAACGAAAACAAGGCAATGACGAAGGTCGTCATTGCAACAAGTCCTGAAAAGAGGGATAATTGATAGCTATGTATGTTAAATGTACACATTTAGAATGTCATATGGATATTGCAAAATGTTTTAAAAAATTAAAGCTGCTGCAATTTGTAACTGTACATAATGAATGGTTTTTTAAATAGTTTTGCATAACCCAAGTATGAAAGCTGGACTGGTTGAATTATGGTTTGTTTAATGCTTATAGATGTAAGCTTTAATATGTCATATTTTCGAGTAACGTAAATTAGGATATTTAGGACAAATCAATTTTCACACACTTATTCTTAATTGTACATATATTATTCATTCTCTGTATTTTGTCAAATTTACATTTCTGTCTTTTTGGTGGGATGTCAAATAAACTATAACTCATGAATTCTGAATGTTTAAACAACTGAAGAGGTG